AGCAATGGCGAAGATCATGACGACCGTGATGGCATGGTGATGATCAAATGCTTAAACTTGGAAAAGAAAAAAGAGAAAAACAAAAGGCTCAAGGCAAAGGTATAAATTGTAGGAGCTATTTTGTTTTAGTGATCGAGACATTTAGCGAGTGTGATCACATTTAGGATTGATAGCCATACTATTAAGAGGGGTGAAACTCGTATCGAAATACAGGTTATCAAAGTGCCACTAGATGCTCTAACTCATTGCATATGCATTTAGGATCTAGTGGAATGCTAACACCCTTGAAAATGTTTGTGAAAATATGCTAACACATGTGCACAAGGTGATACACTTGGTGGTTGGCACATTTGATCAAGGGTGGTGAAGTTTGGGTGCAAGGGTAAGAAACTCCACCGGCACCCTAGACAGAAAAATTGGAGGTCACTGTATGTGACCGGACGCTGGTCTCGGTTGGACCGGAGCGTCCGGTCAGTGGCAGCAGAGGGCGCGTGTTTCGGTCTTTGACCGGATGCTGGCGCTAAAAGTGACAGGACGCTGGCAGGGTGCGTCCGGTCAGTGCTGACGTACGCTGACGTGAGGCGCACAGATGAGACATTGTGTGACCGAACACTGGGTGAGTCTGGTCGGGCATGACCGGACGCGTCCGGTTGTGAAATCTCGCATTTGGAACCTTACTGGAAACGACCGGACGCTGGGGTCCAGCGTCCGGTCACTTTCTAACTGACGCGTCCGGTCATCTCTTGACCGTTGAGATCGGGCGATCGGCGTGTGAAGCCGATGACACATGGCGAAGATCTGAGGACCGGACGCTGGGGTCCTGCGTCCGGTCAATATGACCGAAGCGTCCGGTCGGCCCGTGTTCAGCCCAGTGAAGGGGTACAACGACTCTATTTCGTGGGGGCTTCTATTTAAGCCCCATGGCCGGCTCAAGCTCACTCTCTTGGCCATTTGCATTGACATAGCAACCTTGTGAGCTTAGCCAAAGCTCTCCCACTTATCTCCATCATTGATTCATCATCATTGTGAGATTGGGAGAGATTCCAAGTGCATTGCTTGAGTGATTGCATCTAGAGGCACTTGGTATTCGTGTTTTGCTGCGGATTTCGCTTGTTGCTCTTGGTGGTTGCCACCACATAGACGGCTTGGTGCAGCGGTGGAGGATTGGCACGAGTTGGTGATTGTTTGTGGCCATCTCCGGTGATTGTAAGGGGAGTTGTACCTTCCCCGGCGGAGTGCCGAAAGGTAACTCTAGTAAATTGCTCGTGTCATTGAGTTACCTCACTTGTGGGTCAGTTCTTGCGGTGTCCTATCGTGTCGATGAAGTTTGTGAAACACCTCTTAGCCGTTGAACCACCAAGTGTTGGTCGACACAACGGGGACGTAGCGTGTTGGCAAGCACGCAAACCTCGGGAGAAAATCGATTGTCTCATGTCTTTGGCATTCTCCTGGTGATTGGCTATATTTTCATCTTATGATTGGTTCATCCCCTACACGGCGGTATAATCACCCTACTCACTTATTTACATTCTTGCAAACTAGTTGATACAAGCTCTTTAGTGTAATTAGAATTGAGAGCTTGCTTTATTATTTACATTCATCTAGTTGAGCTCTTTAGAGTAGCAAGATTGATAGCTCTTAGTGAGTAGTTACATAGCAAGTTTGTGTGCCTAAGTAATCATTGCAACTAGAATTGTTGGATAGGTGGCTTGCAACCCTTGTAGAGCTAGAGCAAGTTTGCATTACGCTATTTGTCATACCAATCAAATTGCTCTAGTTGATTTGTAGATTTTTAAATAGGCTATTCACCCCCCCTCTAGCCATATTAGGACATTTCAACGCTCCCACGCGGAGTCCGATCACCTGCTCGACACCTCCCTTAGCACCAAGACCGGACGCACCACTATGCGACCAGACGCTCAGCCAGCTAGAGTCCGATCGACTCTAGTAAGGGTCTAGAGACGGAGAACGACGACCGGACGCGTTCGGTACGCCCGACAGGACGTGCCCCTGCGTCCGATCGTCTCTGGATCAATCTTCGCGTGCCACGTCACCACGACCTGACGCGTGAACATTGATTGCTCAACATCCGATCACCTCCTCGAACCAGAGTCCGGTGACACGCCTTAGCTGATCACTCCTGGCTAGAATACTGGACGCATCCGGTACCAATATCGGACGCGTTCGGTCACGTCGGGAACACTGCCGCCTGAGTCAGATACTGGACGCGTCCGATCCACATGTCGAACGCATCCGGTCACCCCGTGACCAGCGCTTTCTACTCCTTTTCTTTACCAACTTCTCCTTTGCAAATGTGCCAGCACCACCAAGTGTACACCGCCATGTGCATGTGTGTTAGCTTTTCACAAACATTTTTCAAGGAGTTAACCACTCAACTTGCCACGCCACTTGATCCTAGCAACAATGCAAAGTTAGATCACTCGAGTGACACTATATGACCGATATGCAAACACATTTGTCCCTCTTGATAGTACAACCATCTATCTTAAATCCGGTCATCAACTTCTCTACACACCTATGACCGGTGAAATAAAATGCCCTAGGTTATACCTTTGCCTTGCGTATTCCATTCTATCTCCTCCAATATCGATGCAACACATACACCAACACCATCAACAATGATATGATCCACTCCGTATCATCACGTGACCATATTAGTTCATCGATCTTGACTTCACTTGCTATTCACCGTTGCTTCGGTACATCGGCGCCAAGTCATTACTCAACTTGCCCTTCACACTTGCGACCGGTCCATCGAGCCAAGCCTTGTCTTGATCTTCTCCACCTTAGTCACATGACTCAATGTCATGTTTCATATGCAATGAGCTCCTTCATCACATATGTGAGCTTTGCAACATTTCCGAGCCATTTCACCTCCATGGCAAGTATTGCTCACACATATGTGCTTGTGGACTAATTACCTATGTATCTCACTCAAACACATATTAGTTCACCTAAGGTTGTCACTCAATTACCAAAACCAACTAAGGACCTTTCATGGGGGGTCTCGACAGAGCTCGTGCAAGGTGCGCTTGCGACGGCCATGGTCGTCGTCCGAGGTTGCTGTCCACGGCGGGGTTGCTCCGCGCCGACACACCACCACTGGGCTGCGTCACCATCGCCAGCGCGAAATGCTTTTCGATCTGCCGGAGCTGTGTCACCACCGCACGGCACATGTTTGATGAAATGCCTCAGAAGGGTAACTCTACCATCTGAAAGAGGACGTGATTCTATTCAAGCAAAACCCGCTAACCAAACACATCAAAACTTAGACAGGCTTAAGTAATCACTCCAACCAAACAAGTGTCTATTGGCATGTGCCAACTTGGCTAAGCCTAGCCTGGCTCAGAAAGCTAGCCAGGCTTATGAATTGAACGGGAACCAAACACACCCATTATCATCTACTCTGGCTGAAATATTCCCCGCCGATCACAAAAAAATTAAGAATTCATTACTCGTGCCAGGTCCACAAATTAAACCTCATATAGCTCGAATTATCCTTAACCACGCGTGTGCACCTCTCAGTCCTTGACTACATCTATTTTAGTCCCCGCATAGAAAATCTATATTTACTTAGGACGATAAATAAATATCAGGCTGCAATGTTTTTCTAGAGTAAATTATAACTGTCAAAAACTTTTTTCTTAAGATCACCTATTAATGACCCAACAGTAGTATAGCCTTCCATAGTTAATTAGACATTCCCTTTCATCTCCTATTTTTTTTTTAAATTACACTGTACAACGTAGACGTCCACGGTACGCACGCACACTCACCCGACACACGGATTATTTTTCTTGGACAAAATGATGGCCATAGAATAGTTGCTTATGTCCTTGCTGACGTAGCAGTCGGTGGGGAGGGGCAGGTTCGACCATCAGCCTGTTCGTTTAGCTGTGGCTTGTCGTAAACGATCGTAAATTTTTAGCTGAAACAGTATTTTTCCCTCACACAAACCAGCCAACAGTACTTCTTCATGAACCAGCAACGAAACGAACCAGCCAACTGAACGAACAGGCTGCATGCCCATGCGGTGACGACAGGGCCGCCGTGCCGGGCCGAACCAAGCCAAGCCAAGCAGCCGTGCATTAGCCGGCCGCCAAAGATGTCACCGGCCCACCGCCTCCGGACAGCCTCATGTTGCAAGCCAATGACAGCCTCACAAGTCGCAACACTGCACCGGCATGGCACTTTTAAATTGCCAAATTATGGCGCCAATAATTAGCTTATTAGCTTAGCTCCAAACCAAGCACAGCTTCCTGCCCTCAAACTTTGTCAGTGGTCGCTTTCTGCCACCGGCTCAAGACGCTGTACGCTTGTACTGTTGCTAACTAGATAGAAACATTGGTATGATTATTTTGTATGTTTTGTTAAGCAATGTGGCGGTTTTGATTATATGTGTAGTGCTAAAACATTTTCTTGAACATGCTTGAGCTACAATGCCACTGGCTTCTTCTTAAGAGGAGCAAAGGCAATTTTTACAAAGTAGGTGGCCGGGGTAATCAGCATCTTAGGGTCTCCTTGATGACATCTGGATTATGCATAAGATTATTATAATTAGGATTATGGATTGTATTAGTCAAAGTGTTTGGATCCCTGAATTATTGTGGTTTGTTAAAGTGAGAAATTCTTATCTTACCCTTTAGAAGATGACGATAATTGGGAGGAGAGGGGAGGGTGATTGGACTTTCAGCATCTATAATCCTCCAAAATTATGTCTTTTTTGGATTATGGGATTATGGTTATCACAGATTTTGATTATAATATCCATAATATAATCAATCTTGTTTGGATCATTATTTGATTATATAATCTTATAGTATTATTATAATAATAGGATATCCAAATAGGGCTAATTTTAATTAGGAAATTTTGTGATAGTACAGACATGGATGGTGTCAGGTCACTTGCTTCAATTAATGAAAGCACGGGCCTGATTTAAACTATGTAATTTTGTAATAGTATAGACATGGATGGTGTCAGGTCACTTGCTTCACCTGCATATATACGACGCAGGGATATAAATGATTAATTCTAGGTTACTTGCTTCAACAACAATTAGTGACCGTAGGTTTTACATTATGAGTTGCAGGGCTAAGCAGCCAACCAAAGTGGAATAGGTTACCTCGATATAATGTGAAGAGCATCATTACATCTAATTCATTCCTACCTTCTAATGCAAACAAAAGTAGCCAATGTGGGCCAGATCGATTGCCCACCGATCCATATCCGCATGCATTATCAGCGATTTGCAGTGGAGTAGTGGACCACTTGGAGCCAGCCATGTCTCGACTCTCAACCACAGATCTTGCAACAGGGGGAAAAAATGGTGTTCCAGCTGTCGAACAAAGCCAACCTGAAGTCCTGAATTACTGAACCAATCAGCCAGAACAGGAGCAGAAACTTCAGTATCCAGTGAGCTTTTCGGTACATAGATAAATAGGCCTAGTTTAGTTGGTGGTTAGAAATCAATATTTGACACTATAGCATTTTTGTTTATATTTGACAATTATTGTTCAATCATGGTCTAACTAGGCTCAAAAGATTCGTCTCGTAATTTACAATCAAACTGTATAATTAGTTATTTTTTTATCTACATTTAATACTCCATACATGTGTCCAAAGATTTGATGTGATGAAGAGAGAGTGAAAAAACTTGGAATCTAAACAAGGCCATAATATGAGCATGACTCTGAAGTCTGAAGATGAATTCTTTCTCACATTCAGGTAGAGAGTAGTTCGATCGAGTTTCGAGTGTGACAGCAATTGCAGGAGAGCCACACAGACAGAAGAGAAATAATGAAGAATCCGATTCTGCCCACCACACGAGGCACACGCACACAACACGCAACAAGGGATGTTAGCCCACAGGATCACTGGCTCATGTGAGTCGACCACTCATCAGTCTTGTCGACCACGGTCGAATACGATCGAGGCTATTCGACTACATACACTATGGCTAGAGATAGAAGAAGACAGAAAACAGAGCATACACGCACAGTACAAGCACTAGTGTTGGCCGGAACCCTGTATATGAGTAGACAAATCTGGACTCCCTTTGTTGAGTTGCAGTGGCAAACTATTTATACAACTCTATCATATCTAGTCTAGTACAACTACCATGCTACTACAGTTACTATATAACACAGCATGGCTGACTCTGACGTCTGCCTCTGCACGTGGCTATAGTCAAGCAGGTGAGCCGTTCGGCGCCTGCCTTCTACAACAGCTACAGTACCACAACAGGGAGCCTTTTCGGCGCCGTCTTCTCTTGTTGTGTGTTCACACAAAGAAGCAGTAGATTATCTAACAATTCTTCCCCTAATCCTACTGCTATCCCTTGTACCCCTCCATGTCGATCATTCCCTTCAGCTCCGTGAGTCGAAGGCGATCAAGTGGCTTGGTGAGGACGTCCGCAAGTTGCCGACCAGTTTCGACGAACTCGATGACAATCTGCCCTCCATCAACACAGTCCCTGAGGAAGTACAACTTCACATCGATGTGTTTGCTCCAGTTGTGCAGAACCAGATTCTTAGCGAGGACGATGGCGGGCTGGTTGTCCACCATCAGTGCTGCTGGGTGAGCTTCCACACCGGTCAGCTCGCCCAGCAGCAGGCGCAGCCACACAACTTGGCACGCCGCTGTGGCTGCCGCTACGTACTCTGCCTCTCACGTAGACAGCGTCAGCATCTTCTGTTTCAGCGACAGCCATGAAATTGGAGCCGACCCGAGGAAGACGAGCACTCCATAGGTGCTCCGCCGTCCGTCGATGTCCCCCGCCATGTCTGTATCGCTGAACACAGTGAGCTATAACCTACTCCCGCCGGTCTTGGGGAAGATGATCCCCTGATCCACTGTCCCCTTGACGTAGCGCAGTAGTCGCTTCACCGCAGCCTAGTGATCTTCTCTAGGATCCTCCATGAAGTGACTGACGTAGCCTACGACGAACGCAATGTCCGGCCTCGTGTGGACTAGGTAGCGCAGACCGTTGATGATGCTCCGGTAGAGTGTCGCATCCACCTTCGCCGCGGTACTGGCCTTCGTCAGCTTCAGCTGCTCCTCCATCGAAGTCACGCATGGCTTGCACTTAGCCATGCCGCTCCGCTCCAACAGTTTGGAGGCATACGCGCTTTGACCGAGCGTGAGTTCCTACTTCCCCTGTCTCACCTCGATGTCGAGGTAGTAGGAGAGTGCGTCGAGATCGCTCATTCGAAAATGAGCCGCCATCTCGCGCTTGAAGCTGCCGATGTCCTCTGCACGCGCGCCAGTGACGATCAAGTCGTCCACATACACGCCGACGACGAGCTCCTCCTTCCCTCGTCGCCACATGTAGAGCGCGTGCTCGGTTGCGCACCTCGTGAACCCAAGCTCGCCCAGCGTGGCGTCAAGCTTGGCATTCCACGCTCGTGGGGCCTGTCACAGCCCGTAGAGCGCCTTGCGCAGTCGGAGCACCCTGTGCTCCTCTCCCTTGATGGCGAAACCTGGAGGTTGCCTGACAAAGACCGTCTCCATTAGCTCGCCGTTTAGGAAGGCCGATTTAATGTCCAAGTGATGGACGTGCTAGTCCTTTGCTGTTGTCAAGGCTAGTAGCAAACGGATAGACTCCATGCACGCTACTGGCGCAAAGACTTCCTCGAAGTCTATGCCCTCGCGCTGAACAAAGTCTCGGGCGACGAGGCACGCCTTGTGCTTGGCAATGGCACCGAGCTCGTCCCGTTTGACCTTGTACACCCACTTTAGGCTGATCGAACGGCATCCTAGAGGTGGATCGACAAGCTGCCAAGTCTCGTTTTCCTCGATCGCCTTCATCTCCTCCAGCATCGCCCGTCGCCAGTTTCCGTCGTGCTCGGCTAGCGCGAACGTGGGTGGTTCCTCTATGCTGACGAGCAGCAGCTCTTGATCATTGAGCAGCCGACCAGCCGGGCCTGAGGGCCCTGTGCCGCCGACGATGTCATCCAGCCTACGGAACCGCACCTCCTCACCTTCGTGGAAGGCATCCACGAACTCAGTGATGTCACTTGGAGGTGAGACGAACTAGATCAGTGTTGATGGAGTTCTCTGTTCCGCTGAAGTGCTCGGCACAGCACTTGGAGTGCTCGGCGCCCTGGTTGTAGTGCTCGGCACTACTTCTGAATAGCTCGTCACTACTCCTACAGTGCTTGGCACCGCTGTAGGAGTGCTCAGCCTCAGTCTAGGAGTGGTCGGCACCACTGCAAGACCTCTTGGCTCCACCACGGGAGTGCTCAATACCCGTCCTAGAGTGGTCGCCACCACGGCAGAACCTCCCGGCACCACTCCTGGCGTGCTCGGCATCCCTCCAGGAGTGCTCGGCACTCCTTCCAGAGTGCTCGGCATCTCTCCCAAAGTGCTCAGCACTGCCCCAGGAGTGCTCGGCTCTGCCGCTGGAGTGCTCGGCACCTCTTTCCCAACGTGTCCACCACCATGGATGACCAGGTGCTCAACGACAAAGGTGCTGGTGAAGCCGCCAGCTTCCCCCATGCTCGGACTGGTCTAGTCCCAAGTCGCCTTCTCGTCAAACACGACGTCGCGCGAGACAAGTACCTTGTCTCCACGTGGGTCGTAGAGCCGGTATGCCTTGGTACCCTCCGCGTGGCCTAGGAACACCATCGGTGTGCTCCCGTCCCCCAGCTTCGTGAGGATCGGTTTCATCTTCTTGACATGGCCGATGCAGCCGAATGTCCAGAGGAAGGACACGCTCGGCTTGCGCCCATACCAAGCCTCGAACGGCGTCTTGCCCGTCAGGGACTTGGTGGGAGCACGGTTGAGGATGAACACCGCCGTGGTCATCGCCTCATCCCAGAACATTACCGGCATGCCTTTGGCCTTAATCATGGATCGAGCCATGCCGACCACTGTCTGGTTCCGTCACTCCACCACGCCATTCTGTTGTGGTGAGTACGGCGCGGTGTGGTGTCGCACCACACCCTGGTCCGCGTAGTACGCAGCGAACTCCACCAAAGTGAATTCGCCCCCGCGATCAGTCCTCAGCACGCGGAGCTTCTTACTGCTCTCAGCCTCCGCGCGCATCTTGAACTTCTTGATCGCCGCCGTCGCTTCGTCCTTGCTCATCAGGAGTTGTAGCCACATGTAGCGGCTGCAATCATCCATGAGCAGGAGGAAGTACCGCCGACCACCGTTTGTAGCTGACGTGGTCGGCCCGTAGAGGTCGCCGTGGACGAGCTCGAGAGTGTCCTTCGCGCCCTACTTGGCTGCCTTTGAGAACGGTAGCCTCCTCTGCTTCTCGACAAGGCAGCTGTCACACAGCTCGCCTCCGTGCTTGATGTGGGGTAGCCCTCGGACCATCCTTTCCACCCGACCAAGCGCGTCGAAGCTGAGATGTCTGAACCAGGCATGCCACAGCCATGGTTCCTCGGTGTGCCTTACCACCAGGCACACTGGCTGCTCTACCTTCAGGTCGAGCAGGTACAACCGGTTCAGGGACCTCTTTACCTTGGCGAGAAGTCACTGCTCCTGGTCCCTGATCCTAAGGACTCCGTCCTTGATCAGTACCTCGCTACCGCGCTCATCCAGCTGACCAATGCTGATGATGCTGGAACACAGCTGCGGGATGTAATATACATCCGTTAGTGCACGATGCTCCTCGTTCTAGCACCTAAAGATGATGGTGTCGCTCCCTTGGATAGCTACCCTTGAGCCATCACCAAACTTCACCGTATCGGTAACATCGTCGTCGAGCTCAGAAAATGATGCCTTAGAGCCCGTCATGTGGTTACTGGCACCAGAGTCCAGATACCACCGTTGCTCCTGGTCGGTGGCCACACGTCCGAGGTGGACTTGCGCGCGCGGTTCGTCGAGGTTGACAGCCTTCAGGGACTTCCCAGGTCCTTCCACCATCATCGCCTCTTCCTTCTCCTCGGCCTCGACATCGTGTAGTGCACAAAACGTCGCCATTAGGATAGTGGCCTCAACATCATCATCAACTTGCACCAGACGAGCCTCAGCCTTCTTCTCCTACTTATGATTTGGGCACTCCCGTGCCCAATGGCCCGTCTTCTCGTAGCATCGGCAGGCGTTGGGGTCGACCTGCTTCTTCTTTTCCGAAGAAGCCTTGCTGCGGCGCTTGCCATCGCCACTGCGGCTAGAGGAGGCTGCCTTCCTGGAGTTCCTCCGAGCAGCCTACTCCTCCTCTGTCAGCAGCAGTTTGCCGCTATCCTTCGTTGCTGTCGCCTGTTCTAGGAGCTCGTCCACCGCCCGTAGATGGCCTGTCACATCCTCAACGGTGAGGATGGACAAGTCTAGCATCGTCTCTATGGAGAGAGTGATCTGGATGTACTTTGCCGGCACAGAGTGGAGGTACTTGGAGACTGCCTCCTCTTCGTCGA